TAAAGCATGTGAGAAGATAGATAATGAGTCTGAGAAAATACTCAGATACTGGTGGATCATCTAAGATGTATAATCTGTTGTTTTTAATGCAGAAATATACATGCAAATTTTGTACATCATTTAAAAATGATCCTACTCAGTTACACATTCCTTTGGATGGCGAACTCAGATTTTTATTAACTGCACACAGTATTTCTGTTGTAATTACGTACCAAACTCAATAGTTATGCTACTATTCTTCTATGTTAAAAATATAAAGTTTGGTTATTTATTTGGATTTTGACATAAACTGAAACAGATTTCGAGTTCTGAGACAAAAAGATTTAGGCAAAGCTGCATTATTGTTGTTGTGGATAGAAAAAACAGGAGTAAATATCTGCCAAAAACTCTGAGATTTCAGAGGTCCAAAAGTTGAAAATTTACTAGAAAAAACTGAAATGTTGAGATTGGTCTCAGAAATTTTCTTGAAAAAAGTGTAATGTTTTACTTTTGAAACTCAGAAATTTCCACATTTTCCCACAAAGTATAAAATTTCTGACATTCTCTCTGGAATGTTCCACTTTTGGAACTTCAGTTACTTTTTTTCTAGAAAATTTCTGACAATCTAAAAATTTCTGAGCTTTTGGCTGAAGTTTACTCGTCTTTTTTCTATCTACAATGGCCCTAATATACCATTGTAGAAATCTGAGATTAAAATCACAATACAAGTGACAAAAAGAGAGAGTTGGGAGGAAGTTCTCCATGTTCTGAAATACCAGCTCCTTTATAGGAGATTTATTGATGGTGCTTTGAGCCAAAAACTGGGTAATACTTTGTAATATTAATGCCAAGGCAGGGCATATTAAGGTTATTGGTATTGAACAGTTTTGGGAGGAATATAATTTGGATGCCCTACATTCCACACTCTTGGAGAAACTAAAAAGGTTTCTTCTAACTTGCCTTACGACTTTACCCTCATGTACTTAATCACATCTTATCAAGACGTCCCCAGATAATTAAACTCATTTTGAGCGCAGAGATAAATTAGAGGAGGTTCACTGCAATGGAAGAATTAAAAAATGTAATATGAGAAAGAGAGGGAAGAGAGAGAAGAAAAACTGTGCTTTGATTATGCCACAGCCTTCTGGAAGTGTTCATCTTTGCTTTCAGGAGGGACACTCCCATTCGGGCGGCAGCAGCGACTCAATAATTCAATTTAGTCCTCGGTGATCACATCATGTCTGTCACGGTTATTTAAGACGCCGCTCTGCCGTCCGGCCTGCTGTGGATAATGCGCTCGCTCCAGTAACGGCTTTCTCATCGAAATAAAACAGATCATCGCTCCCACATCCGGGAGATCTCAGCAGAGTCAGGTTCACATACATGCAGCGTCAAAAATAGTTCCTGTGATTCTCCAGCTGGAACCCGGCCGCCTTTGTTACTGAGGAAGACATTCAATTTGTTCTCTAATTCGGTTTTGTGGGCAAAAAGACGCTTAGAAACAATGTTAGTCCAGCCAAAGCTTTTTCAGAAGCTGCAGGGGCTTCGTGTGAGCTAATTGGGAACTTGAGACAGGGCCTCAGCGAGAGATCAACTTCCTGCAGGAGAAGTTGTCATCATTACTGCTTAAGTTGGTGCAGGAGTCAGAGGGCTCTGCAGATGAAAAGCTCTGGCTCCCTTCCGATTGCGTCACAGATGAAGATTCAGTCACTGGCAGAGATGATGGCTCATCAATTAGGCTGAAAGTGGAGTGAGGATCTGTCTTTTGTCTGCTTAGATGCACAATCACTGCCTGATGGATCCAGCTGCCATCATACAGTGTTTCTAAGTACAAAAGAAATCAGGATTTTCTCCAGGGAAGGCGAACACCTGGACACAGAGTTACAGGGTAGAGGTAGAAGCCGAGCGCTGATGCTTTCCACATTCACAGCTGTGTAGTTACATCTACTTGAGTAATTTTTGGGGAAAAATACTTTTAGGAGTATTTCTACTTCTTAATTTTTGCTTGAGTGATTTTATTATCAAGTATTATTACTTTAGTAACATTTCTGGATTTTCTACACACTGCAGCGTAATTCATGAATGAAAAACAAACCAAAACTTCACAAGACACAGACACACACCTAACATTTTTGTTAAAATTGCTTTAGTTTTTTTATTGAAAGAAACTGATTTGGAAAAAAAAAATATTTTGAGTTTTTTTTGCAATCATGTTATTTATATCAATTATTTGCATTTTGGTCTTTAAAATACCATATTCCCACATAACTTTATATTTTGGTCCGTTTGTGTAATTTAAAAAAAATTAAATCACTAATGTTTTGATCAGTTACTCAGTACTTGAGAAGGCTTTTTACCAAATACTTTTTTACTCTTGAGTATAATTTTTTGGTACTCTATCCTCCTCATTACGTTTTTCCAGATAATTTTTGGGGTAAGTTAATCTAGATAAAATAAGTTAAGTTTTATTTGGAATAAATTTGTTGGAAATTCTATTCAATTTATCTATTATTATTGATCATTTGTCTATAGCGACTTAAATTGTCCAGCTCTATAAGAGAACTAGCATTTTGTGGATGTTGTGGGACAAAATCAGTGTTTTATTTTAAAAGGCTAAAGTTCTTTTTTACTGAACTTCAAAAAACAAACAAAAAAAAACACAATCAAAAAGTATACATCTGTTGAACTTCATCTGAAAACTGTTTCGGTATCACTATTGCATCTCAAAGTTGCAATCAACATAAATCACAGTAAAAACTTTCCAGAACAACAGTTACTGTCTGGTCGGGTTCTGCTGGGAGACGGCACTCTTGATGAACGAGCCTTTGGGTCGGTCTGCTGGTTCTGGTGGAGGCTAATGAGAAGCGTGACGAAGCTGCGACTGATACAGGCCATGCAGACATATGGGCATTTTTCTGGTCCATCCGCTGCTAAGTTCAGCAGCCATGCGTCTCTGACAACTTGTGGAGCGTCGCGAAGGCTTGCAGCAGACAGAGGAGCGTCTGGAGTTGAGTTATGGAGGAGAAAAGATCAGGGAGGTGGGAGAGGAGAGTGGTGGGTAAATATCTGGTCCCAGCAGGTAGCCAGCCCCCCGTAGTGACCTTGTTCCAGTCCCTCCAGTATAAATGGCTGATAAATGGGGGAGCGAGGAAACAAACACGAATAGAGGCCAGCTTGGGCTCACATATCATGGGCTTGTAACACAAATGGGGAATCATGAGTAAAGTAGGTGAAAATCCAAAACTTTTCTTTTAGGTAGGTAAAAACTTTGGAGACAGAAAGATTCATAGGGATTCTTAGAGTTTTTATTTATCGGTGTGTGGAGTAGATGCATGGAATGGATTGAATGAGGAGTTAAAGTACAAATATGAACCAACTTAAAAAACTGTTTAAAAAGGAGCTTGTTGGGAAATATGTTCTAATAAGATGAGTATTTCAAAGTCCATAAATGCTATTGATGATATAAAAAGTGTTTTAATATTTGTACATCTAAAGATGAGAATGTGAGATTTAAATGTCATGTAAAGTGGAAATAAGTTATGTCTTTCTGGCGTTTTGACATTTAATTGATTATAAGTTAAGTATGAAAGGGGAAAGACATTATAAGATCTTGTATCTTCTACCTGCTCCTTTTCGACCAGATAATATAAAATTACATGTCACTTGGCCATGATCATTTGTTTTAACTTTTATTTTCTTTTTCTTCTTTCTTGCTTTTACTTTTGTCTGTTATAAATAAATAAATAAATAAATAAATAAATAAATAAATAAAATTACATATTTATCTGGTGGAAAATGAACTGAGAGGAGGATAAACTTTCAATAAAAGTCCTGGACAGGTTATCACACTGTAAAACATCTGAAGGTGGTTTAACTTGAAAATGAAAGTCCACCTGCTGCCTTAAAAATGCAATTTAAGTCAACAAGTATTAGTCTTAACTCAGAAATTAAAGCTCATAAAGTTGATTTAATAAGAGACAAGTTGTCTAAACATTGCTTTTTAAATTCAATAATCTTGAATCGTGAGTTATTTCACAATATGCAACATTGTAATGTTTTTTCCAGACAAAAGTCTAAAACTGAAATGTTACATAATAAATGTTGCAAATTTAACAGCAGGCAGGAGTTTAATCTTTTAGGGATGTTAAGCCTAACTTAAATTATTAATGTTCAGTTTCGTAATCTATCATAACCAGCATGTCTTTTCCTCTTTCCACTGGGCATTTACCATCACTGACAAAGAAGGTTTATTTACATCTCTGCATATTAACTACCATTAAGTGTTTATTTAAAATAAAGAGAGATTAACATTTCAGGTGAAAATGCAATGAGCTGGGAATCTGATTTAGTATATTTGCTCACTAATGATTATATAAAAGATGTGAAACAAAAATAATCAGCAAATTCAACAAAGGCAACAAATTACTTAGCATTTGTGGAAAAAACAACAGCAAACTTCCTTATTGCACTATTGTCTTAACTTCTACTTCAGTAATGCTATTTTGAAGTACATGCAAGTAATTTTTTAATTCAACTTAACCCAGTTGTAATAACTTTGCTGGTTGAAGAGCAAGAAAATGATGACAGACGCAATTTAAAACAATTCTTCTTGTTTGCAAACTATGTTTTTGCGCTGAGGTTGTTTTCTATCTGCTTTTGTTCATCTGGAAGGCGAGTAAATTTACAGAAAAACAGCAAATCTCATCCCTGGAAGTAGTTTGCACTGTACAAGAATAGACTCAGTAAAATAGAGTATAAATAAAATGATTTATGATGATAGAAAAATATTTTATGGGTTCTGTTTGTAGTACAAAAATGTACTACAATGATTTGGATTATTTAACCTGTCATAGAGTAATAAAACTATTTTTATTTTTACTTAGCTTACAAACTTGGTATTTGAGGCCAAACTAAATATTTAGTTAGCAAACTAAATAATTAACTCCAAACCAAATATTTAGCTGGAAAGCTACTTAGCTTGCTAATTAAATATTTAGTTTGTCAACTAAAAATACTTGCATTTCAAGACATTTACCTGTTTTAACAAATTTAATTCACCTGTTAATCAGCCATCAATTCAAACCAGGTGTTCTGAGGTTCCACCATGTTAGGTTGCTGCCATTTCATCATCATCTGATGCATTCACTTCCATAATAACTTCAGAGTCAGATTTGACACATTTGATTAGTATTTAAATTTATGGTTGTTTATTAATTATTTAACAACTTTTATCCATTAGTTGCAAAAGAGAAACCAATGGCGTTTGCTTTAACTAAATCTGTGGTCCTAAAGAAGGTGAAAGTTCATATCAAAGGCTTGTTTGCTTCGCTACAGAGACCAGGTTGGGACAAAACCTTAAGGAAAGATTAACAACAACACTAGACATCAAAAGCCTCAGCGCTCCTGAACTGCTGGATCATGAATCTTGTAAGACGAGCAGCTGCAGCGGAAACTGTTTTCGCCCTGTTTCAGCCTCATGGCCACATTTTGCAGAGGAGCTGTTGTGCAATCAGGACTAATTCAGGAGGGGGAGCTTGTAAGATGCAAGCTTCATGGGATCAGTGAGCAAGCCTTCTTTGATCTCCCGTCCCAGATAATATAGGTCATCTCTTCTGGGGGGAAACAACAAAAACCAAATGAGGTGGAAAACATCGTTCAGCCCACCTCTTTGGAGCAAGAAAGCAAATATGCCCCCCAACCCAGAATCCCAGCTGCCTAAATGAAACCACAGAAGAAACGCAGCTGACCCGTTTCCATGGTCTCCATCTGCACACAGCAGCCTGTGTGCAGATGAGAGGAAGAGGAATTTCTGAAATGTGAAATATTGCATCTGTCATTTCCCATCCTCCTGCTTGTATGTGGAGCCTATTCACACTGGGTATCCATGGCAACTGTTTTATAATGCCTCACCAAACACCTTAGAAGAGGTTTCTTTTTATCTGGGCCAGAGGGCTGGGACAGAGGCGGCGGAGAATCAAACGAGAGGGCAAATGTGACAGGTGAAGGGTTGCCAAACGTAGCTTTCTGCAGCGAAAATGGCAAACAATAAAAGAAACAATGAGGTTCATCATTTTTTTTTTTTTGAGGTTCTGCTGCTGGCTGCGGCGGCGGCAGTCACAGAAAGGCAGCCATCGGTTCCTGTGCTGCAGTGAGACGCGCTGGCACCGACAGTCGCTACACAGGAGCGTGTAAGCTGGGCGCTCGAGGACAAGGCCAGCCATGCGGAATACAGCAGGCGCGAGCTTGACGGCAGGGCAGCGCGCGGCCAGCTGGGGCTTCTGCAGCCACGAGCCCCTGGCACGGCCAATCAGGGGCGAGCCCCGGACTTTGTTCATGCATGCTAATGCGCTCGTCCGAGGAGGGATCAGCCGGGTTGGGGTTGAGGGTTGCTACGGATACGGCAGCAGCCACACTTTACCTGAGCAGGTAAGTCAAGTGGAAGAAATGTGACCTTCAGTTATGAAATCATGGCTCAGATCAGCTGAAAGGGTTAATGAAATGAAAATCTGGAGCCATAATTTTAAAGGTTATGCTTCCTTGAAGTTAGGACAGAGCTATGGGCTACACAAAAGACGTTCATTATATTTTTTGGACAAAAAAAATTATTTGATAATGAGATTTTATTCTGCTCCGTTCAGAACCGTTCAGAGCTGTTTCAGGACCTCTTGTCGCTTTAAATGCAAATAAGCTGCTGCTGGCCACGCCCCGTAACTCAATGTTTCCATGAAAATAGCTGCAAACAGATGCGCAATTATACAACTGTACGTGGTTAGAAAGCAGAAGTAGAGCCTCCTGCACAATCAGTAAGAATCCAGCAAGTGGTTTCTGGATGATAAGTCAACAACACTTGTTTCCCCCCCCACCTCCCCTACTGTACTGCAAATACTGTATTTGCAGTACAGTATTTGTACTGCAAATACAGAGATAAAACCAGCTGACCAAAAGTGCTGGAACCCAGCTTGGTAACAGGCTGAGGTTGCTAGGTTATGGGCTAAGCTTCCAAACATGCATTTGATAATTTAAAAACAGTTCTTTTTAGCTGAAGTTTTAAATTGCAGAAAGTTTTGTAGTTGACTTTTGTGAGCAGTTTGTTGATTTAGAGCTAATGAGAGCAACACAGATTAAATCCTAAAAACAAACAGTGATGTTTGTTTTATTAAATGAACAGTTTAAACTTGGGGTTTAGGGCTAGCTTATCCTGTCTCCATCTCGTGTTGCGCAGCACATATGGCTTACCCACAGTTATGCCAGTGGTGGTTTTGGAGACTAAATCGTGCGACGGGAGACCAAAAAACTCCCCGAACTGTTTTGTTTGTCCCAGAATAAGCTGTTTAATCATTTTGAAAGGCTTCAGTGAGTCACCAGAGGAACTGACAGCTACAGAAGCACAAGATGGATGCGAGTGCACAGATAAAGGGAATCTGTTACTTTATTTTGACTTTGCAAAGTCAAATATGCTGTCATTTTTTACATGACAGATAATTCAACAGTTCATCCCACCGAATGGAAATGCCTGGATCAGACACAGAGGAATATTTGGCCAACTTAATCACTTATCTCAGTTATTAACTCGGGTTAAAAAATGTGTTTCCAATCAGTATTTCATCTTTCGGTCGATACCACAGCCACTTTTGACGGCTTTTATCCTGCAGGGTTCTTTGAGGTCATTCGTCTCTTCATATGCTAATGTCTTAATCACCATTTCCCAAATGAACTGAGCTTATGCAGGGCTTGGAGTTATTAGGTGTATTTGGGGAAATTAACCTTTTCTCCTGGAAGGGTATCTGATAATCCCAACTGTCCGCTCAGGTTAGTAAATTTCCCTCTCCTCTGCAGAGCAAAATGAGCAACAATATATTAATGCAGGAGCATTTGGATGACATTCAAGTGATCTGCTTCGGCCATAAATTGAGAGACTAATAAAGGAAATGGATCATGAGCAGAAATAACACCAGAGAGCACGACTGAGATCTAATCAGTGTTATTTTGATATTGGGAAAACCACTACCAGGGACTTCTTCAGTAATTATCTTGGGTAACTAAAACAAAACGGTGGAAGGAAAAGTAATTTCCAGAGTTATTGAAGAAAAGAAATAAAGTATAAGGTACCGTCAAAGTTTGATTTAAAACAGCAGCATCTTGATGTAGAATGTAAACCATAAAGGCTTCACTTTTCAGCCCAAAAACATCCTTAAAAAAAGTGGAGATTTAATAAAAATGCATTCATGGATTGGCCTTGCAGAAATCTTTGCCTCGACAGTGTAGGATGACCATGAGAAAGAAGAGAACAAAAGGCAGCCAGGATCCAAAGAACAGCCTGAAATGCCCTCAAAAATCTCTACATAAACGCTGCTTCAGCAAGAAAGTTATACAAAATATAGATTTGTTCAAGCTTGAGCTGTTCAAAGAGTTTTTTCCCCCTCTCATAGCAAATATGTTCAACCTATAAATAAACGATGAGTCACTCAAAACCGTTGTAAAGTTCTGTCAAACCTTCTGCTTTTGTTTCCTTAAAGGCAGATAAATCTCGTCGCTGGACGGAGCGTTAGACGAGTCGTCCAGCCAGAACCGCTCTTGATGTTATGAGAGCCGGCAGCAGATCACGCTGTGACTCACAAGGTTATGTGCAGCTTAGGAACAGGAGAAATAAAAGAGAAAACAGCAACAAGGCAGGAATATTGGCCCAAACACAGTCAATCTGGACCTTTTCCATGTTTTGTCACATTAAAGCCACAAACTTTGATGTATTTAGTAGGATTTATGTGGGACAGAGACACGGGATAGTGGATAGTTGTCAAATTTTAGAAACATTTGTCATGCTTTTTACATAAAGACTCAAAATAAAACAACCCAAAGTAAAATCTACCTGTGTGTAATTTAATCTTAGCATAAATCCAGCTGAAGAATAAAAGATCAAAGAGCAGGGAAAGGATTTTTGTTGAGCAACACCTGTAGAGAAGTCTGTTTGAATGTGTAGTCAGAACCATGAGTGCAGGGACTGTGATGTGTTTTACTTCCAGACTTCCTTCACAAGTTCATAATTACCTTTAATGTCTTGATTTACCATGTGAAATACCAGGCTAGATGTGCAAAGCCAGCCCAAAAGACTTGAAGCTGTAATTACAGGAGAGCATTGTTCTACAGAGTACTGGCTTGGGGCAAACTAAAAATAAATGCACACCACACTTTTCAGTTTTGCATTTGTAAAAAGATCCAATCATTTTTAATTTTCATTGTCACAACATTGTGTTGGTGAAAAATACCATCAAAATACATAGCAGTGGTAAATCACAAAATGTGAAATGAAGTTTATATATTTTATAAGGATCTGGATTATTGTAAAGTGTTTGCATTGAACATATCAAAACTGTAGAAGTGCAAGGAAGGTATTTTTCTGTATTTTCAGATTTTTGCAGCGGTAGCAGCTCCAGTTTGTTGGGTTTTTTTTTTCTTGAGGTCGACCAGCTTCACTTACCTGCTTTGCTAATTTCCTATTAATTTCCTCTGTAAATTTATGCAGAATCTGTCCCCAATTACACCCGAGGTGTGAATGGAAACTGGTCCTGGTCAGTAAATGAAGCGGGACGGTCAATCAGAAAGCGGCTTTATTCAAGCTGGACCGCTAATAGTAATGCATGTCTGACTGTCCTGGCAGCTCATATGAATAACATCAAATTATAAACTCGGCGTTGACATTTTGGGACCTGAACTTCAGACCCTGTTCTTGTGGAATCAGTCTGCAGATGAGACTCAGATTTAGCTGTGAAACTTTCTGGAGCAGAGGCGAATTTCATGAGATGAGCCTCACACATCCGTCTTAAAGGAAATGTTTGCCAACCTTCCAGTAAACCTGAAACACCAAGAATAGATTGCAGAAACAAACCGTCCAATCGATCCTGGGATGTGTCGGTTTTTCAGCTCTGCAGGTCTCAACGCAGACAGAGGCTATGGAAGGATATTTGGAGTCAAACCCTCAGGATAAAATAAATGACCCTTTCAAGACATTTTCCTTCCTGAGCTCGATGTTATCAAGTTCTGTCAGCTGTGGGTGGGCATTTGATGATTTAGGTGGCAGGAACATAATTTCCTTTGGAAAAGATCAACAGCACAAATACCACGAAACAAAATGAAAGTTCCTCCTAATTTTTGTCATTTCAATTAGACAGATTCTTAAAATCTGTTACATTTCTATTAATTGTCCTTGCTTGAGGCTTACCACTCTGCAAAAAACATAAAATCTCATCAAGTATTTTTGGTCTAGTTTCAAGTAGAAATATTTTAGCACACTTGAAATAAGGGGGGGGGGAAACTTACAAGTAACTTCTCAGCAAGAAACAGGAGCAGCACTAGTTGTAAGTGAAATAATTTGCAAAACATGTTTTGCATATTTTAAGTTAAAATGTCTTTTTCCACTGGGAGAGTTAGAATAAACGTATATCGTGCCGATATTGAAGCTTTTATCCTACAAGATTTGTTTTCCTAGATAAGGACTCTTACCAACCTCAAATCAAGGCTAAATCTACTAGCTTAATTAGATTTTCTCCATGTCGTCACACAAGGAAGTCATGTGTTTGAGTTTCAAAAACAGACTGTACTCGGCTCAACTCAAACGTTTTAATCACCAGGCCTTTTAGAAATTTCAACCTTAGGTAAACTTTTAAATTTGAAGAAAGCGATGAAAACTTGTCCTCCAGTAAAATGCTCCCGTCTTTATCCTTCCAGTGTTTAATAAACTGAAAGAAGTTTGATACTAAATGACCTCAAACAGGAAACATTTAGTGTGATTTAATGGTGGAACATAATAAATGAACACAGGTCTTTTTACAGTTTATGCCTGAACTCTTGAGGGCGCAAATGAAGCAGGATCAGTCGAACGTTTGTACCAAAATATGACAAAAAGTCCACAGAAAAAGCTGCTAAATCTTCAACAGAAATGAGAATTTTTGCATGTACTAGTTGTTTTATCTGTCCAAAATACAAGGATAAATGTCTCACTTATTTGTTTAGACAAACTAAAAGAAATATTTTAAAGGTCAAATCAAATGATGGACGACTGGTGTGTTTCAATCAGTGGTTAGAAAAACTTTTAGGATATTTGATTTAGAGGAGGTTTCACAGGTAGGTGTCTGATTTGAAAGGGCAGACATTAAATTAAAACTCTACCTGTTATTTTTAGGAACATTTAATGAGTCCTTTTGTTCCTAGAGGGTTTCAGCTCACCATGATATCCACTTTATTAAATTCAAATCACCTGTCACTTTGACAGATTTCATCAGATCGTCAAGCCGTCATTGTGAAGATTATTAATATATTGGAAGAGACTTAATAATAACATGATCATCTTTTAGCTAAAGGGCAGCGAGAGCCTCAGGCCATAAAGTCCGGATCCAAAACGGAGGGAGCTGCAAGTTCAGGACAGGAGAAGAAGAAAGTCGGACAGTGATCAAAGCAGTGACGCTCTGCAGGATGTGCACTTTCAGCGGGACGAAGAGATGAAAACGGAGCATTTTGAAACACAACACCGCCCCTTCCCAAGGTTAGCCGTTATGTAACGCACCTTGAAGCCGTTCCCTGCCTCTACCTACAAGAATAAGCCTCAAAGTGCTATATATACCGCAGAAGATTAAAAAAAAAAGCTTTTTCCTCATTTAAATTATATCTTTGATACAAACCATCAATTAAGTGGACTTATATAATCTTTTCTCCTGTAGAAGACTTTAATGGACGTCTATTATTGCTTGTCTAATGAGAATAAACAAAGATGTTCACTGCAAAAGCATTCACAACTCTGAATCTGTTACATTTTATCATGTTGGTTAAATTATAACATGAAAGGACAAGGAATAATGATTTTTATTTTTTAGAATAAAAATCTGATAAGTGTGCTATAAAAATTATTTACTCTTTTTCTTGCTTTAAGAAAATGAATCATGGTTAATAAATGACATTGAAAATAAAAGTTTTTTGTATTTGTTATTGTCAAAGTGAAAACTAACTTCTATGAAATGACAATTTTTGTTTAAAACATGAAATAAGTGCATAAATATTCACCCCATTTAAAGTGACTGATCTAACTATTTTGGCGTCGGTTTGATTTTTGGATTTTAGCAGTAAAGAGAAAGTTTGAACATTGCACTATATATATATATATATTTTTTTTTACAATATTATTTCACCTGGTCAAAAGAGTACAAACAGTTCTGGAAAAAAAATAAAGCCTCCCGTTTATTCCACCAAATACTGATGTCTGAACTCTTCCTGAGTTAAAACGTGAGTATTGTTGTTTCTAAATTGTTTTCTTTGCATTATTTGAGGACTGAAAGAAACGTCTTCGTTATTTTGATCATTTTTTATTTTCTGCAAATAAAAACTAAATTTTTGCTTTGAATACCAGAGACATGTTGTTAGCAGTTCAAAGAATAAAATCATTTTACTCAAACATAAACCTATAAAAGTAAAATCAGAGAAACTGATGATGCTTGGCAGCATTTGAACTGGCCCACCCTGACCGTGACCGTGCGGTCCCACACATGGACTCATTTGAATCCTGAAATGAGTCAGCTGGACAGTCCTCTCCTGAACCTCCCTGACATCCAGCATGTCGCTGCAGCAGCTAATAGCCTCCAGATGAGCCCGTCTCAGACACACAGTCCTGACACGCACCTTCCTCGGCTCTCCGTGCTGCGGCGAGCATCGCGGCTCGGCTCGGCTCGGCTCGGCTCGATGTGACGTGTTGGAAGATAAAGGAACTGACTCCCTGCCATGCCGGATCTATCTGGACCGCCGTCACGCTGCCATGGGAACAGATGAAGACGTGCAGGCCCTCGCAGGGGGGGGCCGGGCTGCTGCAGGTTCACTCATCTCTTGCTGGACTGACTGGCAGGGATAAGCGCCAGTGGGTTGCTATGGCAACAGACTTGTATGCAATGCAATGGGGCGTCTATTTCATCATGCAAAGGTCGTCAGTTTCCCCACTTCTGCGAGTTGAAAGAAATGTGATTGACTTTGATGGAGACTTGACTTCTGGGAAGATTTACATCTCAAAGTGATTTTTTTTGTTTGCTTTTTTTTTTTTTGACTTGAGGAAGACAGATCAGATCCTCAGTTTGTGTAAGTACTTTCTGAGGTGAATGCAGACAAATTATAAGCCAGAATCTATATCCTCTGCAGGGGTTTTATAGGACAAACAGATGTTAAAGCTGCAGTATGTAACGTTTATAATTTTTTAAAAACCATATTTGTTGTCATTGTGTTCTGACAGTATGAGAGATAATATATGTAAAACAAAACAAAAAAAACGCCTCTGCCTTCTTCCAGTGCTAATTATAGACAACCAATCAGAGCCAGGAGGCGGGTCTTAGCACTGTCAATCATGCTCACTTCCCCCCTTTGCTTTCTGCTGTGAGTGCTAAGGCTAGTTAGCATTTATGCCACTCATGATGGAAGATAAACAGTTTTCCTTCAACAGCGGGTCATTTCTCCACCATTTGCACATTTAGCAGCACATTCATGATATTAACATTATGACATTAAGGCCCACCTCCTGGCTCTGATTGGTTTTTTGTGGCCAGGAATGCCTTTCCTCGTAGCAATAGCATGAGGCGAAGGAGCTCGATCTTCACGCAGGTTGTCTCATATTATACTGTTACAACATGGTGATTGTTGGAACATATGTAAAAAAAAAATTATATAAAAAGGTAACTTTAAATACAGAAAATGCAGACTATAAATATTTTTACCAGCATTGCTTTGGCGCCCCCTCTACTGCAGCGCCAGTGTTCTTCCACGTCTGACTATTTAATTTTACCATATGGAGCAAAAAAATAAAGATGCAAAACACCTTCAAACCACAAAACCAGGCTAAATATATCCACCAGTGGCACAGCACTAAACTTGCAACTTTTAAAATATGCTGTCTCGTTTTACTAAAATATGCATGTGCTGTTTCTCATTCATTTGCAAATCCCAACTTCCTACCATGAATAGTGCAGCACCAACAGAAACAGAGTGCTAAGTCGGCAGTACATCAAGCTGTCAGGATCGTAAGGAGAAATGTCAGAGGAGCAGAGAGGATTCAGCTCCCCCGCTGTGCATGAGGATTCATGAATCAAAGGCAGTTTTATATTTTCAGCTGATTGGTCCGTTGCTTCCTCTAGGCTCAGATTTAGTGGCAAGAAAATATTCAAGAACAAGAAATGAACACAAATATATTCTTTTGATCTTTACAACGACAAGCTTTTATGCATTGCAACCATTTAAAAAGGTGAGTTATTATGCTTCCTTGACCAGGTTAGGATAAGTAGGCTACACAAAACATATCACATTTTTTATCCACAAAATTATTTTTAGATGAGATTTTAGTCTGTTCACTTCTTCCTATTTCAATCTCCTTTCAGAATGATCTGCTTAAGGGCGTCGTATCACTTTAAATCCAAATAAGCTGCTTCTGGCCACGCCCCCCCATCTCAATGTTTTCTCTCACACATGTAAACAGATGCGCAATTATACAACTGTACAGCTTTGAAAAGCAAAAGAAGAGCCTCCTGCACAAACAGCAAGAGGTTTCTAAATAGTAAGTCAACAATGAAATATTTGTCTTTTCTAGCAGCCATTGTACAGCTGACCAAATGTGCTGAAACTCCACTTGGGTTGCTAGGTGACAGGTTGGGCTCAGCTGGGGTTGTTACGTAACGGCATTCAGATATGCCAAAATAAAGTTTATACTGCTCTCAGATGTAAGAGTCCAACTCGGTGTAAATTCATCTGCTTTTGAAGGCCTCAGGGTTTGTCAGACAACTTTAGTGAACAAACAGATCGTAAAGGTCAAGAATAAATTCTGTTTTTGGAGCAAAAGTACTTGAATAAAAACTCCTGCCACACTGAAGACATCGACATGCACTCGTGTGAGTTTGCCTCCTAAGGTTATTATAAAAACTTTAGCAAGGAACTGTAAAAACTAGAACATTGTTTTCAAAGTGTCCAGGATTTGGCTCAAGTCAGATTCTGTCAGAGATAGTTTACATTTCCAGCTGCAGACGGTTCGGTTGCAGCCGCTTAAAGCTTGCAGAATGGAAAGTTTAAAAGGAACAAGTGAAATCTTTTAATATCCAAGCAGAGGCTGCAAAACGTGGCAGGCAGAGTGAATGGTGAAAATAAGAGTGAGGAGAAGGGAATAATCCGGTCCCTGCAGATGGAAACAGGCTGTTGTGGCCCAGTTGCTTCAGTTGACCTTTGACCTGTTTGTAAATCTGCACTCATGTGTTTGTCATAAAGAGACTATAGCACCAAACTCT